GCAGGGGGATGTGGCGGCGGGGCGGGAGGGGGGGCGCTCGGGGTCCGCGGGGCTGGGCTGGCTCCCCGGCGTCGCGCGTCCGTCCGAGGCGACGTCCTGTTTGCGCGGCGGGCGCGCTTCGACTGTCCCCGCCAGCCCCCGAGGCCTGGCGATGCCAGGCGGGGGACGTGGCGGGACATGTCTATGGTGAGACCCTCATTGTGCCATGGGCTCAGGGAAACGAGCGCCGAGGTGCGCCGCGGTCCCACCCGTCCTCTCCATTGCCGCGAGACATCACTCGCCGCGACCACAAGGCAGCCGGTTCCCACTGTGGCTTGGTCTTCACGCCGGCCCTGGTAAAGCCACGGGGACGCTGTGTCCACAGCTGAGCAGAAACGTCGGCCTCGGGACTTCGTTGCAACAGTGTCAGGGAGTTTCTCCGAGTGCGAGGTGCCGAGACGTTGTCCCCCCCCGGCAGCTGTCTGCGTACAGCGATGAGGCGCACAGGAGGCGCCGGGGGCCACTTGACATCCTGCTAACTGGACTTGCGGCCTGCTGGATCCTCGCGGTGAACCCATGGCAGCTGTGCGGCCCCAAGATGGGTCAGAGGGTCTTTTCCCTCTTTAATTTTGATGAGCTCGTTGCTCAAAAGTTGCCAGGTGGAAGTTACCGAGTGAGCTTCACATGCTCTCTTTCTTTGCCTGGGCCGCAGATCCTGGTCAACACATGGGAAATGCCAGCCCTCTTTTCCCCCAAACCTTCAGGAATGTGGACAAGGCGATGGAGCAAGGAAGAGCACTGCTGCGATGTGCTGGCATTGAGAGAGACCCTTTACACAGCCGTGAGCTGCCTGGAAGTGGCCTGAGAAATCATCACAGTGATTAGAGGAATCAAATGGGAAGGGACACCTCTCTTCCTCTCCCTCTCTTGCTGTCCCCTGCTTCCCTGCCAGGGTAGTGGCAGCCGGAGGTGTTATGTCTGGCAGTGCTCTGGACAGACGCATGATCCCCGTTACGCTTGAAAACAGCCCCATGGTCACTGTGTCTTTTAACGGAGTCCCTGAAATTTTTCGACCTTGTAATCGGGGAACGGGACCCCTGAGTCTGGTTAAGATGGCAAACACAAAAGCGTAAGCGATTAATTAGTTGGTGGTCACGTTCCTCGATTCTGCCGAAGAAGCGGCGATTTGGGGCAAGTCGGAAGCTGCTCAGATGCCAGCCGGGCTGGTGGGCGAGAGAGCAGCTTTCACCATCATCTTGGGGGGTGCTTTCAAAATCCAACACAACCGCTGTGAATTGGGCAGGCGATCAGAGCATACAGCCTGGCCAGGGGCAGGAGCAGCTGCATCTGGGAGAAACGCCATCCTTGATGTGGAGGTAGCCTTTCATACCTCGCGGCCATGCTGTTGGCTTCCTTCTGCCAAGCTGACGGTACAGTTTTAAGCGTCAGACCACAGCTTTCGCCTTCAAGAGAAATCGTCTTCCGTTGGATGGCGACGACTGCAGTCCCACACCATTGCAGCCTAGTCCCGCTTCCTAGCCCGTCACTTTGCTCTGCCTGGCTTGGCCTCACCACGGCCTCTTACCAGTTCTACCAGACATTTATGGGATCTGTCATTGTGGTGCTTCACCTGCATCGTGGTCAAAGCGGAGGTGTGAGAGCGGGTTGCTGGCTCTGCCTGTTCCTTCTGGTCCCTTTCGTGTCCAAATACGCCATCGCCTTCAGATTGGTTTTCATTGCTGCTGTCTTCATGGTGATTTTCAACCTGGGCCAGCTTCCCGTTTCCCTTGATGTCACGCTGCTTCTCAGTTTTGAGTCTTTCCCCATCCTCGCTGATCTGAAGGTGTTCATGATGGGTTTGCATCATTAATATAAGCTTGTTTTACTCTTTATTTCATTGCATGGTCTTCACTGACATTTTTGCCAATCAATTTGTCCACGCCTGGCGATTATACTCAGTACTTAGTTACAACAGCAGCCTTCCTCTTTGAGTCAGGTTGGACACGTTTCCGTGCTGACCTCCCAACAGCGCAGTGAGGGAGGTACAGTCCACGGGCAGGTTGTTGCCTCCGGGAATGGGAGACAGATCAGGCAAGTCGCTCGCGACTGCAGAACAAGAGGTTGGACCCTGCCGTCCTCATGCAACCAGAGCTGCTTACTCCACAGACTTTGATTTGTAGAGTATTTTTATACTTTATTGCATCCTGTTGGTCCCCAGTGAAGGGACAGTTCCTCTTCTCTTGGGTATAAGCCATCTCACGTGCTAAAGCACTGGAACAGGGTACCTAGAGAGGTGGTGGAGTCTCCATCCTTGGAGGTTTTCAAGACCCAGCTAGACAGAGCCTTGGCTGGGATGGTGTAGTTGGGGCTGGTCCTATTTTGAGCAGGGCGTTGGACTAGATGTGACCTCCTGAGGTCCCTTCCAACCCTCATTTTCTGTGATTCTATGCTAAAATCTAGGTGTGACTCCAAAATAAAGCCTCTCCTAAGCCTTGCCATCTCTTTTGTCCTGTCATAAACTCCTCCTTTCTAGCACATGCAGCTTCTGGGCTGGCTCCACAAGCCGACAGCGTGGTCTCTAGTGGGGCTGCGTCGTTGCTTTATAATCAGACACTGGGGGATGGCGAATTGCAATACACCTTGCCTGCTCCACTGGAGACTCCAGACATTTTTTTTTTGTCGCTGTCCCTTGTAGATGAAGGAAAGAAACCCAAGGATGCTTCAAACTCGTATGTTGGTACCTCCTGCTGTAGCCTAGGCCATCAGTCGTAAAAATAACAGTGATTTTTATTTCTCCAGTCTTCGGGGAACCTGGCAGACACGTTTTTAAGACCTTAAGTAGGCGGTTGTTCGAAGGCGGGAGTCCAATTCCTGGTCAGAAAGCCCCATGAGACTGAGAACATCCATTTGCTTTATCCATGGTGGGATTTTTGTCTCCTTTTGATTTTTAACCATTACTTCCTTGTCTTACTCCGGCATAAGTTGTTGGATGGTGGTAAGTCCCATTCTGTGACAAGGAGTCAGCGCAGCTCGATTCTTCAAAAGATCAGGGTCTTAATATGTGCTAATTAAAAGAGAACGCTGCCACTTTTGGAGCCGCCGCTGCAATTATCTTCCACACTAGGGTGCTTTCAGTCCACAGGACTGGGCCAGGAGTCATTATCCACTTGCTCCCTCCTTTGACTGAACTCAAGTCAACAGCATGTCCACGTGCGCCAAGCCGAGGAGCAGCAGATGGTCTGGATTGTCATCCAGACTGCAGCTCCTGTCGCTGCCTGAATTTCCGATTGAGCATTGGGTGCCAGAAAGCAGGTGCCCACGCTTTTATCCACCTGTCCCATCTTGTTCCCATCCCGTGTTTGCCGCTTGCAGTCGCATCACATTTCCTCGTGGCCTGCTCAGCTGTTAAAGCTGCTCTTGATCGTCCTGGGGCTTTTCAAGTCAGATAGTTTTAAATTCCGCCTCCCCTGCCGGGATCAGAGCGGACAGAATTGCCACCTTAAAATAAAATGTACCGTTTGTCTTTAGAGTAATTTTGTAGCAGACAAAAATCATCCTCTTGGAGGGCAGGGCAAGTCCTGAGGATTTGGGGTCTTTAACTTCTGAGAGCATGGAGGTTGGTGCGATAGAGGCAGTTGGAAACGCTAAGGGGAAGTTGGTCTAGATGGAGGAGAGAAAGCCTTAAAGGTCCATGAGATATATATGCAGTGGGTCCCTCTTCTGCCCACGGCAGTCCTTTCAACTGCCCTTTGCAACTTGTGTCCCGTGGGTTTTAATTTAAATGAATTGCATGCAGGAGCTGGCAGCGCATTGTGTTGTTGCAAAGGGATTTCTTATCCAACTTCTTTTCTCTTTGAAGGCCTCGGTCGGCAGGCAGAGTCCACGGGTGGTGCCATACCCAGCCCACAACCTATGTCCGGGAGAGCCTGGCCTCCAGACTGCAGCAGGTTTGACTCGGCCCATGTTTGGCTTACCCCAGCCCAGCCCCACTTCTCCATCTAGACTCTTCCTCCAGACCGCTTTTGCACCGTGTGGGGCTAACGGCCAGCTTTCTCCTCCCTGCAGTTGTGTCCATGGGCTCAGCTGACCACCGATTCAACCTTGCCGAGATCCTTTCACAGAACTATGGTGTACGAGAAGAGAGGGAGGAGGAAGAAGATACACAGGAGAAAGAGAAATCTTTAGAGGAGCTGGAAAAGAGCTTCAGCCCCTCTCAGGTACACACTGCAAGGGAGGAGAAGGGGACTTGTCTGCCAACTGTTTTGTCCTCCTTGACAGTATTGAAAGCACAGAGCTCCACTGAGGGACGTGAACCAGCACTGGTGGATCCACTGGAGGTATAAGGCCGTGGTCTGGCATCTGGATTTGTGGGATGGGTGTGCTCAGGGGACTGGCGATGAGCTTCGGAGTCTTTTGCTTCTAGGTTGCCCATTCAGATCCGCTCTGCATCCAAAGCGATGAGAACTCGTGGGTGCTTGTATCTGTATGGCAAGGCTGGTTGATGTGGAGTCCACTTCATGGTGGACAGGGGCCCCACCACAAAGACCTTGTCTCTTGGTCCCGTTGTGGATGGTCTTTGCAGAAAAGTCAAGGCCTGAATGGGATGTGGAGCATGAGCTTCCTTCACGGTGACGGGGGTTGTCCCTCCGGGTCAGGCTGGGCGCAGCGAAAGGATGATTTATGGGTGCTTGTTGAGCCCCATACTCTGGTCGTCAGGGCTGCTAAGGGGCACCTCTTCACCAACAGCAAAACCAGCCTAACACAAACACCCCCTGGAAGCTGTCACTTAGGGATTTAAATTCTGCAGGTTTGTCCATAGCCCAGAGAAGACCAGCTGGCGGTTGGCCCCTTCAGCCCATGTCTCTGGTCTCCTTCTTGGGAAAGCAGTGCTCAGGGCAGCCCCACACCTCCTGAATCGCAGAGCGGTCTTGACTGCCTCTGCGCATCTCTGTGTTTACTGCAGCTGGGCTTGTGCTTGGTGATTGTTCCATTCCTGATGAAGCTTTGTCCTCCTCTCGCTCAGAGCAGTGAAATGCCATTCGAGGAGCTGCTTGCACTTTATGGCTATGAGGCATCTGATCCCATCTCGGAGCAGGACAGCGAGAGCAATGGGATCTCTCCTCACCTGCCAGACATGACCCTCGATAAGGTAAGAAGCACTTCTTGGCCACCCATAAGCTACTAGCAAGGGAAGAAGGCAGTGTATCCCTCGTCGCTGTAGGGCCTAGAGCTTAGGGTGTCTAGTGTCGTGGCTCTCAACCTTTTTAGACTCAAAGCACCCCCCTCCGTAACTTGTGTGCGTTGAACAGCACCCCAGTTCAAAAACAAATTGCTTTATTACAGTGTTGCCTCCTTGCAGAGGGGCTGTACCAGCCTGAGCCTGCACTTATTTCCTTAAACCGGCTTATCTCCTTGCATCTTGTGGCACTCTTCAAAGGGTCTTGTAGCACCCCAGGGTGCCCTGCACCCTGGGTGAGAATCGCTGGCCTGGTGCTTTCCTCCTGTTCAGTGTGTTCAGGGCGCTTGAATTCCCGTAGGCAGGAGCTGGCTGACCCTTTGAACCCAAAAGAATGGGGCCTGCTTCATCCCAGCTCGCTGTAAGGAAAGCCAGCAGGAAAGTGATAGCAGGAGAGTGAATGCAAGGAATTCAAAGGAGACGAGGGAGAGGGTCCTTGTTAAAGCGAAGGACAAACTAAAAACCCTTTGTGGAATGTGAATTCTGTCCGTGTGGGGCTGTGAATCAAAGGAGACTCACAGGAAGCTGCACGTCTGCTTGGACAACTATTTCCCCGCTGCCCCCCTGCCTGTGTGAACCTGATACTCCTCCCACCCTGCCTAAAATCTGTGGCTAGGAGTTTCTCCTTGCTAGGATCTAGGAAAGCCACCCACTCCTCCCTGTGACATCCCTAGGAAACCACTCTCCTCTTGACCCTCTTAGTAGGAGCCCTGAGGAAACAGCCACAGTGAGAGAAGACCTGAGGGATCATCTAGTCCAGCCGGCTGTATAGATCCCTCTCAGACCCCAGGCATGAGAGGGGAGTCCTGGGAGGTGCATGGAGGCAGCTTCTCATGGCAAGGGACGATTTATTCTAGGCCTCCCCCCTTTTTTTTTAATTTAAAAACATTTTTCACTTTCTTGTTGTTGTTAAAAGGAACAAATAGCGAAGGATTTGCTTTCAGGGGAAGAAGAGGAGGAGACGCAGTCCTCGGCCGACGACCTGACTCCATCCGTCACGTCCCATGATGCCTCGGACCTTTTCCCAAACCAGCCTGGCTGTACGTCACTGATTTCTCACTTACCATTTGGACCCCAAGTGCCTCAGCATGACAGGGCCAGCCATTACTTATTTTGGTGCTGAGAGTAGCGTTTGCAGAGGCCGGTCCTTGGGGCTGGTGCTGGACCTGGCCCTGACGGTGTGCTTGTGAGAGTTAGGCTGCAGTGATGAGGGGCTAAGGGAAACCAGTCAGCTGTCTCATCAGGAAAGAATTCCCTCCGGCTACAGGTCGTAGCTCTGGGGAAGCGAGAACTCTGGTTACATGCTCGGTGTGGATTTCCGAGGCAGCTACACAGCGGGTGAAGTGGGTTGATACAGGACTTGTTTGGCTTCCTAAAATATCTCAGCCATATGCTCCTGCAGAATCACCCACTATAAGACTAGACAGACCCTGCTCTTGTGTGGTAGGGCAGCAGGCAGGAGTCCAGCTCTGAGGGCCCAGGGATCCCATATGATGCAGTTGGAAGGAGGTACAGCAAATTAGTAGGACCGGTGCTCTAATATAGTATGGCTGCACCTTTGTACTGGGGATCTGCAAGGACCCAGGGTAAGAGAGGAGCTTCAGATAAAAGTGTGGGTTGGGCCACCTACCAGTTTTGAGAGTCTTGGTTTTGCTGATTGATCAAATACTGCACATCTGGAAAGGACTTGAGTTCTGTAGCCTACAAAGAGAATAAATGAGGATCTGGGTAAGTTACCTCTGAAAAAATGGGCCAAGGTTAAATTAACTCGAAGACAGGAAATAAGGGGAAGAAGAGAGAAGCTAAAGAGACATGAGGGAGGAGAAATAAGCCAGCACGTCACTGAACGCCCAACTTCTCCTTTCTCACAGCCAACAACTTCCTTGCTGATGAAGACAAGGAGCCCTGCTCTTCCCCGTGCGCTTCCTCCATGGCAGAGGATTCAGAAGAGGACTCTATCCCATCCAACGAGTGTAAGAAGGTGAGTCACTGAACCTGCAGCCTGTGCTCTGTGCCCCAAGGGGAGAAAGCAAAGCCTGTCACAGGGACCACAGTAACCTGTGGTGTGTCCGTGGGGAAGCCGCTGTGATGCTCTGTGTTGTATTCTGGAGAAGGTCAAGGCAGACGCAGCTTCAAGCTCAGCCTGCAGCCTCCGTCTGTGGTCTGCAGCTTGAGGATATCTTGATTATGGGGGGACTGTGCTGCTCCTTCCCTAGAAGAAATGAAGGCTTTTACATGCCCAGGATAGAAGGGGGATGGAGACTCCCAGTACCCACCCTGGATAGGGGTGATGGGTGAAGGAAGATCTAGGTGCAGGTGACTCACGTGCCTGGCAAGGTGAGGAAGATCTGCTGCATCTCCAGCTCTAGGGGCTGACAGGAGTTTTGCCCTAAACCTTTAGTATTCAGACTGGCATCGAACCCGTACGAATCCCAACTCGACATTTGTTTGAAAACTTCCTAGGTTTCTGGGTAGACAAAATCCTTGTGGATTTTGCAAAACACAGTCTGCTGCCATGTTTAGCAGTGCAAGATAAACTTCCTTTGTCCTGCAACTGATTCTAGCCTCTGCATGGTACACAGCAGTCTCCTACTAAATCCCTTTCTTGTGGTGATTTCCAGGAGATCATGGTTGGTCCTCAGTACCAGGCTGCAGTCCCCATCCTCCATTTACAAAGGCACAGTGAAAAAGGTGAGAGACTGTCTTTTCTCTGGCTTTAACATCTGCACTCAGTATTATCTGGGTACAAGGCCCTTAGCCTGGGTGGTCTGATTTATCCAGCTTTGCAAGCAGGCCCTGCAACCTGTGGGGGTTGCCACAGCTGGACCACTATTGGTACTCAGGCTAGCTGTCTAGTTTAAAATAAGCTTGAGTATCCCCATGCTGCATTTGCAATCCCAGACCTGATGTATCCAGTGTGTCTGACTATACTCTCCTAGCAAAGGGCATGGAACAGTTGTCACCCATGTGTTTTGAATCACAAAATGGGTGCCCTGCAAGAACTCAGCAGCCGTGACTGTTTACAACACACCCGCAGGTGCAGTTTGCTGTGTGTGACCTGGCAGCTTGCAGTGGCTATCAGATTATGTACAGGAAAGAATGCAAAGCTGTGATTAATTTTTGGAGGCTCTAGTAACAGACACCTGCATTCTTGGAAGGTTATATTGTCCCTGCATTCCTGACGCGCCTTCAGGCTGGGAAATGGCATGAAGTTAAGGGTTTTCAGGTGGCAAAGAGGAAGTCCAGGGTCTCAGCCACAGCCAGAGAGAAGACCCTCCTTCCCAGTGATCTTTTAGTCTTCCTGCATTAGACTTTCAGTGGCGGTGAGTGGTAGCCGACATCATTCACATGTGCATTTTCATGCAGCCCCCCTCGGGCCCATCTCAGTTCACAGTTAGATGGGGTCACTCGGAACCAGGCTGAGGGGATCAGGTTGGCTGATCGTATCCATGCCTAAAACTCATGCCCTTGGCACCACCTCGCGGAGCCTGCCACGCAGGCAGGCAGCAAGAAGCCTCTTCAGAAATGACTCACTTCCTCCATCACTTACGCTCTGGGCAGGTTTAAGGAGATACCTTCACTCATTTTCGACTCAAATGCTGCAAAGCTAGCAGTTTAACTGCCCAGTGCAGTTAACTCCTCCGGAAATCAGTGGGAGGGAAGGGCTCTGGCTGCCTTGCAGGCGGCGGTCCAAGGGCTTGGGTACCAATTCTCCGGTGTCCCACGTCACTTGCAAAGTGGCTGTGAAGTGGTAGTAGCCCTTGACAGTGGCCTTTTTATGTCCTTTCTGTGCTCGCTTTGACTCGGTGTGAACAAGCACTGAAGGGGCAGGACAATGGGGAATCAAAGCCTTTGTCTTCCCAACTCAATAAATATCATTTGAGAAGCACATTCAGTGCTGGGGGTAACAAAGCCGCGCATCTGAATACAAATGTTTCTGTGACTTTTATTTGTGTTTAATTGCTAAGCCTTTGTTTTCTGTTTGCTTTGTGTGGCTTTTCTTTTTTTCTTTTTTCTCACTGTTCCTCCACATTGTTACGAACTGCCGAGAGCGCAACGCGCAGCCTTGTGCTTGCAGCTGAGGGCGGAAGGGGGCAAGCAGTGCGCTTCTGCCATTCTTACCTGACAAAACCGCCTTCCAAACTAGTGCAGTGTTGAGTGGCCTGAAGGCTACGCCTTTTTGAGCTTTGGTGCTGGCAAAATTGAACAGGCTAAGTGGTAGCTTAAAGCCAGCCCTTTAAAGCAGCCTGTATTAACATGTTAAAGATTGGGCGTTCTGAGAGTGAGCCCCGTTGTGTTGGTGTGGCCGGGCTGCACCACCTGCGTTCCTGTGGGACTGACGGGCACCTTATCCCAGCTCCCCGCTCCGCCCGGAGGCGTCTTGGCGGTGTATTGCAGAGCTGGCGGGACAGGTTACAGCGCGCCGCAGCGCGCGGCACTTTCTGCCCGGGGTCCGGGGACTTTCCCCTAGGCGGGCGTGCGGCCCGGGAGGAACTAGTGTCCTCAGCACGTGGCCTAGAAAGCAGGTCTTCAGAACGCCCATCATCATCCGGTGATCCTAGAGGACTTCTCAGCAGCCACACCCCCCAGCCCAGCCTTCGTGAAAAGCCAAGGTTAAAGGAGTCCTTGCAAAACACTGAAAAATAAGAGCCTCTGGCTCATGGGGCAAAGGGGAGAGTTGGGAGCCAGCAGCCCTGTACTGTAGATTCAGGAGGGAAAGCCCCCAAATGCTGTGAGCTTGAACACCCCAGAGATGGGTTTTCTCTCTGAGATGCCCCCCTGCACACCAGCCTGGGGGAGCAGCGGTGCTGTCCGACTGATCAGCTCATCCCAGACATGCCCTGCCGTCCCCCGCAGTCTACGAGAATGAAGATCAGTTGCTGTGGGACCCCAACATCCTGCCCGAGAGGGAGGTGGAAGAGTTCCTGTACCGAGCGGTGAAGCGGCAGTGGGACGAGCTGGCCAGCATCAGCCTGCCCGAAGGAGAGATGGTGAAGGACAACGAACAGGTGAGTGGGAGGCAGGGCTCTGCCCAGCCACTGGGGTCTCAATTTCCAATGAGCCAGTTGGGTTTGGGGGATGATAAAGTCACATTGGCTGCAGGGTCAAGCAGCAGAATTAGGGAGCTCCAAGACAGGTCAGATGAGAAGGGCAAGACCCTACAGAGCCTCTGGACAAACCAGAGCCTCTCTGGAGCTGAAGAGGCCCCTCTGGGGTCTGTCACGGCTGCTGCGGAGATGAGCCAGAGGGAATAATTCTCTGTTAGGGACTGAGCTCAGCTGGGTCCTACCATTTTGGAGCACAACAGACAAACTCAGCAGACATTTTGTAGGGGTTACATTGCCACTGCCTTGCTCAGCTGGCCCTTGAATACAGGTGTGTGAGGACACGTATGCACCCTTGCTGCGTGCCCCCCATTCCCTGAGAGGTGCTGCGAACCTTCCCATGTGGAACTGTCCTGGGGGACGGTCTGAGATTGGGGTGGCACAGAGGTGGCTGCAGAGGCAAACGTGTCCCCCGGGCTGCGAGCCTGAGCTGTAGCTGAGCCCATCGGTGACATGCTGATCCAGTGTGCGTGATCAGCTGGGGGGTCCGTTCTGTTCCCTAGGCTCTGTATGAGCTGGTGAAATGCAACTTCAATGCGGAAGAGGCTCTGCGGAGGTTACGCTTCAACGTGAAGGTCATCAGAGGTGAGCAATGTGAGGGGCTGGATTGTCTCGTGGGGGCTGTCGCCAGTAGCTGATCGGTGTCCTGTCCATCCATCTGTCTGTCTCTCTGTCCCAACTCCTGGGACTCTGGACATTCCTATTTCCTCCTGCTGCAGATGAGCTCTGTGCCTGGAGCGAAGAGGAGTGCAGGAACTTTGAGCATGGCTTCCGGGTCCACGGGAAGAACTTCCATCTCATCCAAGCGAACAAGGTAACGAGCTGTGTGCGTCAGCTAGCGCTGGGCGTGGGTTTGAAGCCTCGGTTCCTCTGGGGAAAGGAAGACTACTGAGTTCCAAGCCCAGCTGCGATGCTGGCTTCTCCCACCTGAAAAGCAGAGATCATAAGAGTGACAACATCAGAGCATGAGGCTCCAGCTCATTAGCACTTTCTAGGCAAGAGTCTTTCCAAACACTTGACTCTTGCTGTGTTTTGGTGAGTCCCATGCGCAGGGAGTGTGCAAAGACCTCTCCTTTGCAAGGAGAGCTGGGGGGTCTGGTAGTCAGGACATGGGGTGGATGATGCTGGGTCTGGGCTTGGGGCCTGGCTGTGAGAGTGAGGCTGCTTCTCCACACCTGTAAAGCGGGGTGACACACAGCTGCCTCTTGGAGCTCTCTCAGTGCAAGTGGCTGACCGCCCTCTCCCCCCCAGGTGCGCACCCGGTCGGTGGGCGAGTGCGTGGAGTACTACTACATGTGGAAAAAGTCAGAGCGCTACGACTACTTCACACAGCAGACTCGCTTCGGAAGGAAGAAGTACGTCCTCAACCCTGGAGCCACGTGCGTGGAATATTCTCACACTAATCTCAGTAACATGCCTTCCTGCGGAGGAACCTGGCCTCCACCCTTCCCCACCAGCTAGGGGCCTCTCTTTAAACCAGTGGTTCTCCACCCTCATAGATTCGGGGCACCCTTGGTTAGACTCAACCCCACAGAAAGCGCCAGGTCTTAGTTTTCACTCAGGTTTTTGATGGCAGAAGAATATTAGAGCAGT